AGTAACTGTAGTAGTAGTAGTAGCTGTAGCATGACGATGATGATAACGAAAACAGCGAAGGCAACTATGCTAAATGAAGACACAATTGCAGGCTTGCTCGACACGGACGCCTTCTCGCAGTACATCTCGCTGAACACTCCGATTTACCAGGGCTTGGAAAATCGGATTCTCTACATCAACTCCAACGACCTCTGTCCTGGTAACGCTGCTCACCGACCTCAGGGATTTCTTGGCGCTGTGGTGCTGGCAATAATGGTGGTGGTTTTGGCGGGAGGATTGGAGATTCGAAATTGAAAAGGATTGATTGACATATGTGGTGGTTTGGCATTTTTATCTGTTCTTTGTCCGTGTGTCTATATTGTGGTTTGTTTTATGTGTATGTATATTGTACATTGATTTAGATTTGAAAGAGTGATAATTATCATGGTGGTTTGGAATTTGTATTTGTTCTTTTTCTGCGTGTGTGTTTTGTGTTATGTGTATGTATATTGTATATTGATTTCAATTTGTAAGATTGATAATGATTATGGTGGCTTGGATTTTTTTTTTGTGTGTGTATTTTGTCTTTTTGTGTATACATTGTTTTGTGTGTATTGTCTTGTATATGGGTAATTTTGTGGTTGCGAGAAGGAAGATGGCATTATTATTGTTATTATTATTATTATCATTATTATTTGTTCTCTTCAGAGTAAAGACTTATATTTATGGATAAAAGAATGATCTGAGTGTACATATATATTTTTATAGATATGAAACATTCCCCCGAAATAGTCGTGTGCCATAGATTCTCGTAAATAAGCAAGTTGAAGATGATTTTGGCCTCGGAGCATGTTTTCACTGTCAATGAATTCGAATATACCTCAAGTGTCTCGCTTCTTCATAGGCCTTTCTGAGAACAGGCACGTTTTGTCCACTTCATGAATGCATTCTGGCTTGCGCCTATGTGTTTGCATATATATATATATATATATATATATATATATATATATATATATATATATATATATATATATATATATATATATATGTATGTATGTATGTATATGTATATATATATACGTATACATATATATATATATATATATATATATATATATATATATATATATATATATATATAATATATATATATATATATATAATGTATAAAATAGTATGTTAAAGTAAATATATTATGAAAATGTATATAATAGAAGAAGTATATGTATAAATGTTACATAAATGTATAATTAATTATAATGTATATTTTATATGTATCAATATGAATAACAAATCTGAAACATCCTCACACATACAAATACCACACAGACCTAATACACGTTAATACACATACAACAGCCACACACACATAATACACACACACATACTACAAATCAACACACACTACCCACACACACACAGCACTCCACACACACACACACACCACACAACACACACACACACACCCACACACACACACCCACCCACACACACTCACACACTGACACGACACACACACACACACCACACTCACACACACACACACGACACCCACACACACAACACACACACACACACCACACACACACACATCACACCCACACACACACACCCCCAACACACAAACACACACACACACACACACCACACTCACACACACACACTCCCCCACACACACACCACACACACACACACACACCTCCCCCCCCCCTCCTACCACGCATAAATCCCCTGATACAGACACTACACACCACGCTAACGACCCCTCATACCACCAAATGGACTCGTCTCCACCCACAGGTTTTTCCGACCACAGCCACCCCGCCCCCACACCCAATCAAAACAAATGCCACCACCATAAAATAAATAACACCCCACCCCCGCAAAAGGGTCAAATTTAATGTAGCCAACCACACCCAACTCTCAACCACTATTATAACATCACCACACTAAAAAACCACCCAAAACCCGACCTTAATAACAAAAACATCATTTCTAGCAACCCGTAAACCTAAAATTTCCATAAATACCCCAATATCAACAAAAATATCATAAACATTACCAGGGGTGCCAGTTAATCTAACCTGTGAACAAACTAATCCGAGAGATTTAATAAAAAGTTGATATAAGAACAAATGCAAATAGGATAATCCTACAGGTCACCTTTTGGGTGTTAATGATATATCTAATACATTTATCAAAAGTTATATAACTATCATGTGATATTTTTTTTCTTTTAATTTAAAATTGCAATATCTTATAAATGTGATATCTTCAGCGATGTTTGATGTGAATGTACAATTTCTAAATGATTTAAGTCCGCGGTCCCTCGTGGCAAATGTTGAAGGTTTTATTGTCTGGGAAATGTATATTAATAGTCTTTTAATAAAAATCCATCATTCTACAGAAGAAGACAAAATTGAAAGTTAAAATAAATTAATATATCATTGATTTATTCATAGGTTTTCTCATGGTTTATTTTCTTTCCATATATGGTATTACAATTACTTCTTTATGATCA